CTGAAGATGGGTCCTGACCTGAAACATCAGCTTTCCTGCTCCTCTGATGCTGCCTGGCCTGCTGTGTTCCCCCAGCTCCACACTTTGTTATCTCTGACTCCAGCATCTGCAGTTCTTGATGTCTCTCTGTTAGTGACCTCCTTTTACAGAATTTTCCTGATTAAAACAGTAATTTCATCCAGTATCGTAAGAGGTTATAAGTTGCTGGCCAATCATAGAGTCGTACGGAATGGAAACAGACCCATTGGCTGAACTTGTCCATGCTGACCAGGTTTCCTATACTGAACTAGTCTTATTTACCTGCATGTGGTCCATATCACTCTTAAACCTTTCTTATTCATGTACCTGTCCAATTGTCTTTTAAATGTTGAAATTGTACCTACGACTACCACTTTCTCTGGCAGCTTATTCCATATACACACTACGCTATATATGAAAAAGTTGCCCCTCAAGTCGCTTTTAAATCTTTCCCCTCTCACCTTAAACCTACACCTTTTAGTTTTGCACTCCCCTACATGGGGGAAAAGACCTTGGCTATTCATCTTATCTGTGTCCCTCTTGATTTTATAAACCTTTAGAAGGCCACCCCTCAGCCTCCTATGCTCCAGCGGGAAAAAAATGTCATAGCCTATGCTGCCTCTCCTTATAACTCAAACTCTGTCATCTCAGTAGCATCCTTGTAAAAGCTTTTTTGTGTCCTTATAGTGAAAGTATTGACTATATCTGCTTTTGAAGAAGTGTATTCCATTCTGGGCCTTCCATTTGGAGGAGATCGGGTTTGGAAGTTCTTTAAAATTATAGCTTAGGCCCCTTAGTTTTAATCAGTAGATCCTTGTCACTTCTCTAACGGATGCCTGTGTAGCACCTTTAGACCCGTCTCTAAATAATAACCTTTAGTAATATTTCCATAACCTCTTTTCGTAGTTGTCTAATCGCAGTGTTCTCTGCATCTATCAAAACTGAGATTCAGTCTTTATTTAGAATCTCCGTTATTCCTTCCTTCTCTACCACAAACATGAATGCCCAGCGACTATCATGTTGTGATTAATGTACCTATAAAAGCATTTTTAATTTTTTTGGGGGGCTTTGTACAAAATTTGCAAAATGGACAACTGTTAGCAAAATGACCGTCACCAGCCTGCACTTTGAAAGATAAGAACAGAAGAACAAAGGGGTCTATTTGGAGATGTTCTTGTACACCTCTAGAGCAGGTGGGATTAGAACCCGGTCCTCCTGGTACAGAGGTAGTGACATTAGTACTTCTCCACAAGAGCTGTCTGGGGTCCCGGGATATATGTTAAAAAACCATTGAAAGCAGCATTGGAGATTAACAAAATAAGTTGTTTCTAGATGTAGAGAATTCAAAAGTAGTGATGTTGTGTTGAATTTGTGCATGACTGATCAGCGTGCAACATTTTCAGTTTTAGTCAACACATATGTGGACACAGAGGACACAGACAAAATTGGAACTAAAGTGTAAAAAGATTTCTAAGGATGGTACCAGAAGTTGGAAATTGCAATAATAAGTAAAGATTCAATACAGTAGGGCCTTTGCTTTAGGAAAACAAAAATTTAGAGAAAATGGAATGGAGGAAATATTTAAAATTATCAATTAACTTGACAGATCTGGGAAGAATGTTTCCACTTGTTGGAGAATCGAAAACACATGTACAAGGTAGTTATGAATAAATCCAATAAGAAGAAAGTTCTTCATTCAGACAGTGGGTAGAACGTGGAAGTGCCACAGGAAGTGCTTGAGGTCAATAGCTTGGATATTTCATGAGGAAATTAGACAAGTACATGAGAGAAAGAGGAACAGAGAATCATTGAGAGAAGCTGCATATAAAGTAGATGGAAATGGGAGAAGGCTTGTACAAAGTATAGAACCCAGAACACATGAGATGAGCTCTATAGCTTGTTTCTATGCTCTGTATGCTGTGATAACTAAACCTTTTAACCCTTCTACTTCTCCATATATTTGCTTTACTATCTATAATACTTTAAAGGTATATGTTACAGGTTCCATTTTAGAGGTAAGGATTTCATTGTTAAACATCTACAATTGTCTGTTATCATTCATCATCATTCCTGAAGATGTCCTCTCAATATTGTAA